GGTTGCGATCCCGTTGCCGGTCCTGGTCCGGGCGCGACACTGAGGGTTGCGATCCGTTGCCAGACACGAAAAAAGACAAAAAATAAAAATAAAAATAAATAAATAAATAAATAAAAGGTAAATAAATAATAAATTAAAAAATAAAAATAAAGTGACTGAACGGATGAGACAGTCCGTATGACTGGATGGTTGAGTGCATGAGTACATTGTTGAGTCAGTGAGAGAAAGGAAGGAGGCAAACATGTCAGTGAGAGCAGCATCCAGACTGAACTGCCACCTCTTCCCCTCCCTCCCCAGGGCCCTCCCGCCGCAGTGACCTCCAGACCCTAGGCTACTGTATGCTGAAGTGGCTCTTTGGGTTCCTGCCCTGGACGAACTGCCTTCCCAACACCGAGGATATCATGAAGCAGAAACAGAAGTGAGTCTGGGGGTCATCAGAACTCAGCACTGGCCTGGCAGTTGGGGCAGAAGTTTAGAAACCCAGTAGGGAGCAGGAAGGAAGGGGAAGCAGCATCCAACAGAGCCGAAGGACTCTGCAGTTCTCAGGCACGTGCTCTCCTGTCCATTCCAGCAGGCAAGAACATGAGCTCTGGAGCCACCCTGCCTGGGACTGGATTCTAGCCCCACCACTGTGGGGAGCTGGGTCAGCTGCTTGACCTCCACAAACCTCAGTGTTCTCCTCCATGAGATGGTATCCTATTAGTACACACATGTGGCCACGAAAGGATTCAGGGAGTCAGGTATGCACAGCACTTAGCATAGGGCCTGGCTGGTAGAAAATGCTCATCACATGTAGGACACCATGACCCATTCATTCATTCATGAACGTGCAAATAACTTGAGCAGGGTAGGCCCAGGCCCTGCCTCAGCATCTGGCACCACCAGCCACCTAGTGTTCATGCCACCATGATCAATGTCTTCATCTCTAAATAAAACCACAAGGCCCTGCCAGTTCTGTTTTTAAATTCAGCATCAAGGATGGCAGGGAGATGGGCATGTGGGGA